TACTCCGCTCGGTATTGCCGGATTAGAAGAGACTTAATTTTTGTGTTCCAAATATTACACAACCCGAACCACCCTTGTCGCCTACGTTTGACGTTGTCATCGAACGTTCATCTACGGGGTCGTACATTTAAGTTACTACTCCAAAAATCTCAACTGGACTGTCGACGTCATTTCTTCGACGTCAGAATGTTCACTGTCTAGAATTCCTAACCATTTCATTTCATTTGCGGCACGACGATTGAGTCTATCGGGGTAAAACTTACCGAATCACTGACACACATTACACTCCAACATCCCTGAGTACACATAACACAACCGAATACAGCATATGGAACTTTATTCATAATTATTACAGTATAATTCGTGTAAACGCCTTATGGGACAAGAAAATCATCTGCTTGTAAGAAATGCCTATAATAAGACTGTGACTTTCATTTTGACGTTGGTGACATAATCCGTGTACCACTCGATAAACTACTGACCAACAACACGTAAAAATGCATCCATATCAAACATTTGGTAAACACGTATCTGATGAAACCCAGTGGTGAAGTCCATTCATGCGAATCATGAGAGTTGTGATTGAGATGAGCCAGTTATGTTAGATTGTTGTTTGTACCCGCACAGTCAAAGTGAAGTTGTTGAACAAACTAACCGCTGGTTATTTGGCCGTTTAGTCGAATCCGTCCTGTTCAGAACTGGATACCGTTCACAAATTGGGCATTGGCTTCGTACAAATCATAGATCAAGACCAAAAACGAATAACAAAAATCATGTGCACAGTGTTGGTTTGCGTCTCAATTTGCCATTCAGCACGATACTTCTGTGTTAATTGTGCACGAGAATTCCTTCATCGTTCTCAGGGATTCGGTTACCGGGTGAAATGTAGTGTAAACCAGTGTTTCAGTATGAAAAGTATACAGCTTCTGCTGTTAACCACATGACTGTTTTCACCCAACCGAAACACCTAAAGTAGTTTTCCCGTTCTTGAATGAGATATCTGTTTTTTTTTGTTACATTAGATATCGTGTATACAATGAGAAAAATGACAATTAACTTTGACACTTTGACTATTACTTTTATCATCAGATTCGTGAATATTCATGTCCTTAACTGTAGTATTCATTCTATTGACCACTTACCTCAGCACTATCTTCCTCTTATGTTGGGAACTTTGCTTGGATCCACATGAACTGCTTACCTATCATTTCCGAATTGTTCCTCTGCAGCACTCCTATTTTCTCAATATTGTTGTACTTCATTGTGGTTTTTATACCCGTCAGCGGGAGCTACTGCACATGACGGTCTAACCTCAACTTATCATCACTTATTTTATTTCCTACAAGCTCCACTAAACTCGCAACAGTGCACCTTGACCTCTTATGACTGGTCGAGGCTCATGATGTCGTTACGAAAGATGAAAATCGATGCGGAAATGGATATTTTCTGAGAGATCAACGCCACCCAGTCGTTGATCCATTTTCTATTCTTTGTCGACTAGCAGGATTGCTATTCACAAGAGCTTATATTTACCACCACTATCCGACCACTACCCGTCTGTCTTCACCTGGTCAACTCACACACACACACACACACACACACACACACACATACACACACAAGAGCTAAGTCACGATTACCAAATGATTACGTTGTCTTGTGGCATTTCTTTTCTTTTTCATTTTACTTTCTTTTATTGTTTATACAAAGATACTATTTTCAGGAAGTGGTATGCGGTCAATCAAAGAGCTAACATTCAACACACAGACAATGGGGAAAGACAGGCGTTGGTGGTGGGATTCGATTACGCATCCTCCGAGGTGATAGTTGGTGGTGATACCACCGGGCCACTGCCGCCCAGTTCAATCTCTCATCCCCCAGCCCCTTGAAAAAACAAGTAATCCATGAACAACTGTTCCTCTCTAAATAGCCCACAATCTTTATGATTTGACATTCACAAATGGGTAAATTGGTGACAGGACGATTGTTTCACATCATTCGCCATTCTCTGAATTTGATTCCCAAAATTTATTCCATCTACACTGATTCATGATTTTTCATATAAAGGAGGATGGTTTGAAGCTTTTGAATCTACCCGGTTTTGTGTTCAGTGGATATTTATCAGGGCATCATATCTATGTGTCTAAATTAACTTCATTGATTGTTTGAACAGCCCTCTACCACCATATGGGTTGGTCAGTCATTTATTTTTTTAAATTTTCACTCACATTTATCGAATATGTGATGATAAATTCCCAGGAATGGGGAAGTGTTCCATCAAAGACAGAATGATGTTGGTGAGAGTTCAACCCAAAACATCTTCTTCCCATCGCATTGACGTCTGTAGTTCTAAAGTTGATGGAGAAAGCCATCCTGAGTCGCCTACAGTCATTTGTCGCCATTCCACATGATCCTCTTCAGTTCGCATATAAACCCAACAGATCCACTTTGGATGCTGTGTCTACTTCGGTTCATTTTACAAGCAAGTCATTGAACAATTCTGCCAAATCAGTTCGTTGTGTTTTACTCGATTTGATCTCGATTTCGTCTGCTTTTGATTCTGTATCCCGGTCATCCCTCCTTTTTAAGCTTGAATCTTTTGGCAACCCGAGAGAGCTGCTTTCTTGGCTTTCTGATTATTTCACTGAAAGAACCCATTGCATAAAGCTGGGTAGGGATACCTCAAGTCCTCTAGTCAATAATTATGGTATGCTTCAATGTGCCCCCCACAGTATCTTTTTCTCTGCTTTCAATAATGATCTTTCAGTTCCGCAGCCTGCTCATATCCAAAAGTATGCTGACGATATCGCTTTATTTCAGACCGTTTCTTCTTGTGTTTGGAGTTTTCTTCCTTCACTGAAAATCTGCCCCGAATCGAACAGTTTTTAAGCCAGTCTGGCCGTAATCTTAACACATCCAAGTGTTTGGAGTGCATTTTCAGTTCTTCTCTCTCTACATTCTCGTCAGACTCTGTAACCCTTAATGGTAACCTTTTGTCTAGAGGGACCTCAGCCAAATATCTGGGTGTTACTATTCATAATAATCTTTGGTGGTCGACACACATTCAGAATTGTATGGGAAAACTCGGGTGCCTCTCCTTTCAGCTCCAAAAGCTCAGACAATTTCGCACTCCCCTACAAGTTTTGCTCCCTTTTT